TTATTTGGAAATTTTGATCAGAATGGACGTATAATTGGACCCCAGTTAACCTTGTTACATAGCCATGAAACAAAATAATATGATTGTAATGTCACATGGCCGAGAGCTTGTTTGCTCTCACATACGGTACAAATATACGATGCATTTTTCTCCTGAAACTTCTGCTGCAAACCAAAGGCAAAGGGCAGATATTTCCAGTGATAAATCCAGCAAAAGAAACAAAGAAAATAAAAGAGAAGGTAATTATGCTTTTTTCTTGGGTGCAGAATTGAAATAATTAAGAAGATCTCCCCTTTCAGACGTACATTTTTGGTACTACACAATCTTTCACACACGTGAGGTACCTTTCAGTGTCTCAGATATGTATACATTTATGTACAGTTTACATTATTGGAAAGGCCAGAATTAATTGGTTTCAGAGGGTTAGACATAGCAGAAAGAGGCATATATATCATATCTAGGGGCTTTAATTCGAAGGGCCTCTTTGTATTATTTTAGTCGCCAATTTGCCATAGAATAGAGATAATATAGAAGCATTGACCATCCCATTTTATTGCATGTTTTTATTGGATTCCATTCCATTCCATTGGATAAGGACACAAAGGAACATGTATGGTTGGTTCCTACTTCCTACCTAAATTTAGTATATTGTCCTATTTTATGTATAGTGTCTTAAAATCTGAATCCACCGTTGACCGAATGCCCTTTCTTTTTTCCTTCTTTCGACGTTCCAAATGAAGTTTGCTAGTACTATATAAAATGAGGGTTGGTTCATTCATTTTAGCTAAGCGTTTGCTTTAGGACAAGTTTGCATCATTAATGGCCTAATGTCCTCCCCCGTTGGCCGTTGGGTTTGGTTAATATCAAATCCGAAGTAAAGGTACATGCACTAATTTAGAAATGTACCTGAATACACGCACAATTAAGTGTGATCGACGAAGAAGAAGGGATAGATCAAGAAAGGTTACATTTCCATGTGCCATTGAAAACTATGATACTTTGAAGCAATGATTTGTTGGAGTAATTGGCTTGATACACGTCATCTGTCGAATTAATACACACATAAACGCATGAATGAAAATGAACATATTTTATGGCTTTTGGAACAACGATTTCAGGTCGAACATTGTGATCCAATAAATTGTTAAAGAGTATTCTAGGTGTTTAAGGAGTCATTTGAAACAGTGAGTATTGATGGGGGGAAACAGTGGAACATGGGATGATTCAGTGGCTCGCAATGGAGACATCGACTCTAGCCGTGTGGTTTGATCGATTCAATGGAAAAGGTACACAACCGGCAAAAGCGGAAGTCTACTGGCATTGGGGTCCCTTTGTTGTGTGGCACACGTCCTCATTCCCTGTTGCTCTAAAACCCTTATACCATTTCCTCTCCTTATGAATTTTAAATTTTTAACAATTCTTATTCCAATTATTAATTAAAAGCAATTAATCTCCTTTCATAAATTGTACTTTAGAACCCCCAAAGGCATATTGCTTAACAACAATAGTTTAAAATTGTGTCTAACCTTGGTTTTCTATTATTCACTAGGCGTATAATAACTTCAACTCCTCCTCTTTTTTTCTTCTTCCTCCACCCCCGGTTTGAAATAATGAGCTTGCCTTTCATCTTGTGATAAAAATGCACGGGCCATATATGTGTCTGAGCATAAAATTAATGCATGCATTATTGCATGCACCTTACATAACTGAAGTGATCGTGAAATTTGTGAAAGTGCTTGTCACTGACTTCTTTTAAGTATAGTGAAATAGAAATAAGTATAATTACGAGGAAATAAAATCTTTCGTTGATAAGAAACACCTATAATATTATATTTCAATCACTGTCTAATTCTCTGATGGGACCAAAAGTCGTTGATACGCTCATAAACTTCAAAAGATAAAGACCGTCATATGATTTGCTATAAAATTAGCCTCCTCATAAATATGTACTACTTTAACATTTCAATTCTCTGTAGGAGCTCACGATTACTATGTACCGAGCTTGTATGGATGACCAATTCCTGCTCACTTCCATGCACCATGGACAAAGCACAATGACTATCTATCTTAGCTATATATCAGAATGACTATCTACGTACCGGCTTATATGCTTGAGATAGTTTCATGCATTCCCTCCCTCATGGTATGACTTTTTAAACCCAGGAAAAACAACTTTCAAACTCTTTTCATTTTTAGTAGAAAAAAGATTCAATTTTTCAATTGGGAAAAATATATATTAATTCACTCTAGCGAGCCTAAAAATAAGAAAATCTTGGTGACTATATGGAGAGGGTAAAAAGTCGTGGTCAAGACCCGGCAGAAGGAGCCCCCATTGCCGCTTTCTTGTCCCTATCCCCACACACTGTACACAGGCCACCATTGCATCTTTTCTTTCCACCTTACTTTCTCTCTTTCGTTTTCTTTATCTATCAAAGCTCTGTGTTTATACAAACAAAACAATATTCTGTGGAGGAAGAAAAAAAAAAAATCCTTGAAAGTTGAAACAATCCTTCCCTTTCACTAAATGCACTTTACTTGGTAGACTTGTATTGTTTTCAGTCATCACACGGATTATGAAGCTGCCACTCGATCAATTTACCCCCCCCCAGTTTGGACCATCAAATATACTATATCCTACCCCTTGACTCATTGACTGCTACCCTCCTAAACTACTCCAATTATTGTGCATTTTACTACAGCAAGTCAAAAATCTTGATCCAAAAGTGAACAAAAAAAATTATGTGGATAAAATCAGACCCCTGAATTATATTTTTCCGTACAATTAATGTAAAAAACAAACGCCATGCAAATTGTTAATATCATAATGAAATCCGAGCGTGACACAATTTCAGAATAATCCCAAGATCACATATACCAATCAGTTACTACAAAATTAGTCTCTTGATCGTTAAATATGACCTAAATTAATATTTTCCTCCTCCACATTCCGATGAATCGAAATCAATCGTTTGGGACGTGGAGATATATGGATGGAGATTGGAAGGTGATTCATAATTTAATTTTGTGAAAGTTGAAGATGTGTGTGTGTGGGGGATGGGGGGGAGTTAGGCATGTTTGTAAGCAATGATGGAGTTGTTGAATTTGATATCCTTTTAATTAGGGTAAAGATAACAGACAATGGGGTTTATCTGGATTGCCTTTTTCCATCATTACACTAAGAAGATTTTTTGTGTTTGTAATTCCGTTTTGTCGACCCCTTTTTTCGTCTTTCATGATTTCGGCCGTCGATCGGGTGATGATGGTCTGATGAGAGTCCCACCTTATATTGTAGTATACCAGCTCCGTCGAACATCATCATGATATTCATAGTACGTAGCAATCAATACCAAAGCTTTTCGATTTGATTCTTTTTTTTTAAGAAAAAAGAGAAAAAAAGAAAAGAATACACAACAATCCAAATATTTTCTTTTAAACCGAAAAAAAATAAAAAGACAAATCAACACATTGAAAGTGAGAATACTTAATTATGAGATTCTTCATTTTGTTAATTATTATATTAGTATTTCGTAGCTAACTGTCAAAATAACGGCACTCTCAAAACGTACCTCAATTTGATTTTCAGGTATAACTCAATTAAGGACGCCCGTGTTTATAACCTTCGTCTTTCTAGAAGACTCCCGTTCCTCAACTTCACAGATTTCTGATTTTCTCATTTTAATTTCACTATCCTCGCCAAGTCTATGGGTTTTTTTTGAAGTGTTTTAATGTTTATTATGCGTTTGACTTTTCTTTTTTTTTCTTTTTTTTTGTGTGTGCATGTTACTTAATTGTTGTTTCCTTCTGGTTTCAGAAAACAAAACATTATATGAGTTGACTAATACATCAATTATTCATAAATTATAAAGTTAGGAAGAAGGTATTTGATTGATTTTTTAACTTGATAAATACACTATAATTTATACGGGTAACATAGCATTTTTCCTTCGAGTTCAATTCAGGTTTTGAAGACTTAATATATACGTATATATCGATATGAAGATTGTAAACATTTTAGACACTCAACCTAATTGTTATCAGATTTCAAGAATATGATTTTCTCAATTATTGTCATTAATGCTATGATCATCCGTATTTCAATTTTGTTTTGTGTTTAATTAGTTGTTCTGACCAAAAAAATATATCTTTGTATGGTACTAGTCAAGAAATTATACGAATGTCAGTAGAATGATCCTTTGACAGTCATAATGCGACATATAATTGAGAGTATTGTATATGCATGCATGTTATGTCTCCATTTTGGTGAGCATTTATTCGTCCTCTCTCATCTACTAAATTTTCCGTATTGTTACTTTAGTATTTTTTTAAAAAAATTTAGATCATGTCGTAAGATTCCAGAAAAGCTTATATACTTATTATTTAATTTTACTTTAACTATAATTTAATCTCCAATACTTGACTTAAAACTATGATAACAAACTATGGGAAGGATTAATCAGTCATTTTTGCATGGGGGGCAGAAACCCGGCGGACTTTCGCCATAACCGGAAAGCAAGAACCGGAAAACCCTCTTCACGAACACTCTTTTTTTTCGGTCTCCTCACCCAGAAAGAAAGAAATAATTCCGCGTGACCACAGGCAAATTATTTGTGTGTAGGTCAGTCAATCCTCACCGTCTATTCGTTTCCAGAACCGATGCTGCTTTTTGTTCAAATATCCATTTTGCCCCTACTGGTCTCTCCCGTTTTGTACTCCTCTTTAATCTTTTTTCTTGGACTTCCATCCACACTGCTTCGAGTTTCTCTCTTATCGGCATTAGAGAAAAGAACAACAACAACAAACACAGCTAATCTCACTTAATGGAGGGTCCCTGAAAGCCTTCTCCTTTGCTGCTTCTTTTTTCTTCTTTGATTCTCTTCACAATTCACTGTTAGCAAATTTCTCTGTACGATTTGAATTTGCATTCTGCTGTGTGTCTGTGTTATAATTCCAAGTTCAGACTCTTTGTTCAGGTATGGGATTTTTTTTATTTTATTTTATTTACAATTAATATGGTTTTTTTTAAATTTTATTTGCTATTGCATTTGAGCTACGGTTTGATGATTTCCAGTGTTGTATCATGAGATCCTGCTGTTTTGTTAAAAGGGTTTAACTTCATATTCGTTCTGAATTCTGTTTTCTTTTCCTTTATCTTGTGAGTTTTATTTTTCTTTTCCTTCCTTTCTGAAGTTCTATTTGATGCTCTTTTGCTGATCAGAGTTGCCTCATTATCTGCAATTGTGAGTCTGAACTTTGAAGTTAAATGTTACTTCTTGATTTGGAATGAAATCATTGGGTTTTCCTTTAATTACCTATATGGAAGGTGAAAGGGGACTGAACTTGGTGTTTTTAGTCTAAATGTATTTTTGTTCTTCTTTTCTTTTTATTTTTTTCCTCCCCGGGCTGTTGTTCTTCATGTGAAACGTTTCGTTCGGGGCTTTTTTGGCTTAAACTTCTTTTCCTTGTTTTTAAATTGATGGAAATTAGGAGTTTGATTTTCCGTTATTGAGTTTACTAGGCGTTGAGTTCGCCCTACTATGCGACGATGCAGATTAAGAATTTATTGTATTTTGATCCCCAATTAAGGTTACCATGCCAGTGGCGTTTTTTGTTTACTCTGTCTGAAAGTTAGCTATTTAAGTTCTTGTTTTGTCTTTTTCTGGTGAGAAGATAGCCACAAGGTTTTCATAAAATTGCCTCTTTCTTTTTGTTGAGAAGCATAGTGATCAAAGATCATAGTTGTGGTGTACAAAATATGAAAAAAGATTTAATTTTATTTTTCTTTACATGGAGCATGTTTTCATTTGTTCACACACACGATAGTAACATGAATATCTGTCTTTATTCAACAGAAGTGCTGCCCTTTTATGATTTCGATCATTGAAATAGGAAATTTGCTAAACTGTTGCTATATTGGGCAGGTTTAGTGTCTCTTCCACGTTTGGGTATTGAAGCTGAAACAGAGGACTCTTTCTCCAATGGATCCCTCAACATCTGTGGATTCTGTCTCCAGAAGTGTTTTGGAACCAAAAGAAAGGATTTATCTTGGACCCTCTGACGAATCTTCAGAAGAGAGTTCCACAGTTACAACTGTACCAAAGGGGAAAAATGGTGGCTTACATCTCACTTCTACCGATTTGAGACTTGGTCTCCCTGGATCTCAATCCCCCAAAAGAGATGAGGAGCTTGAGTTGATGAGCTCTGAGAAATTTGACGAGAAACCCTTGTTTCCGTTGGTTCCTTCAAAGGATGGAATCTGCAATTCATCCCAAAAGACAGTTGCTTCTGGAAACAAAAGAGGGTTTTCAGAAGCCATTGATGGACTTTCAGGAACACAGGTCTCGACTTTAACCGAAAGAAACTGGATGTTTGCTGCTTCAGGTTCTGACTCTGAGGGTTCCAAGACTAAAGCTAGCACAAGGGTGCTTTGTAATCGCTCATCTGGACCTCAAGCAGGAGACATGCCATCAAAGACTTCAGTTGAAGGAGCACATGCTGCACATGGTTCAAATCAGTCCAAAATAAATGCTTCAAACAACAGTTGTGCTCCTGCTGCCAAGTAAGTTCGTAAAGCTAGTAAAATGATAATGTTTAACAATGTATAGTTTGGGTGTAAATCTGGTTTCATTGAGTTAATCATGCACTACAGGGCGCAAGTAGTTGGCTGGCCTCCTATTAGATCATACAGAAAAAATACATTGGCCACCACATCAAAGAATAATAGCGAGATTGATGGAAAGCAAAGTTCTGGTGCTCTATTTGTGAAGGTCAGTATGGATGGTGCTCCTTATCTTAGGAAAGTTGACCTAAAAACTTACTCAACATATGAAGAACTTTCTACTTCTCTGGGGAAGATGTTCTGCTGTTTTACATTAGGTAAGCTATGTTTTTTGTGTTAATTTTTCATGATTCATATTGGTTGTAAATTAATATTGAAATGTGTGAGAAGTTTGTGTGACTTCAGCTATCTGATTAGTTTCGAAAATGTGGTAGCCATGGAAACTTCTGCAACGGAGGCTCAGAGTGAAAGCAAATTGGCAAATCTACTGCCAGGTTCTGAATATGTGCTGTCATATGAGGATAAGGATGGTGATTGGATGCTTGTGGGAGATGTCCCATGGGAGTAAGTTTTGTTTATTTCGCATGTTTAGAAATATATATTCTTTCCTCGACTCCATTTACAATCTTGTACTGTATTATTCATGATACTGTTGCTTTTGGACTTTTGTTGCACCTCGGGGTTATATGTGGCATGATTTATATGATTTTGCCTCTATTCTACATTGCCTCTATCATACATATGGAAGGATTGGTCACAGATTATTGCAGCAGATTTGATTGCCTGCAAAACAAAAAAAAAAGAAAAAAAAGAAAAAAGGTGATAAATGGCGCCCAGGCTAAAAAACAGGATCAGGGCTCTTTTACACCCACCCCCCGCCCCCCTCTCTCCCTTTTTGGGGTTTTGTTCTTTGTTTACAATCATATACAATCCATGTAGACAACCTATGTTGGTGGTGGTGGGCTGTTTCTATGCTCTTAGAGTCAATATGTATCCTTGATGAATATAAAGTCAGCATAAAATTCGTAGGGATGGGCAGCCCTTTACCTCTTTCTCTTCTACCTTGTTTACTGACTCTCTGAGCCAAAATGCATTTGTAAATCTCAATGTCTCTTTGTACTGAATGTTTTAAAGCAGGATGATTGTGTACTAAATGTTTTTATAAACTTAGACGTCTCTCGTGTTTTTTTAGCATGTGATTTCCCTGGAAAGTGATAATGTGAGTACGAGCATTCTATATTCTACTTTTGGTGTCGATGTTTGTATTTGTAAATGCGAGATATGCTACTGACGTCATGTATGGTTTTTAACAGAATGTTCATTGAATCGTGCAAGAGGTTGAAAATAATGAAGGGTTCTGATGCTATTGGATTAAGTAAGTATTCTTTTTCTTTCATAACACGATGGCTGTAAGCGTTTATACTTCCTATTTTGCCCAAGAAAAAGTGGGACAAAGAGATCGTAGTGAGTTTGTGTTCCACATATTGAATGCTATTGCTTGGATGCATATTTAGGTCAGGTCAACGAAATCACACTTGTTTTAAAAAACCACCATAGCAAACATTGATAAAATACAGAAAAAGTGAATTTATTTGTTGTTATTTGAGGCATATGTTTTTGAGTCGTATTGGCACGGGGACTTCTTCCGTATCATTTTCTTGTTTTCCTGGGTTGCAGCTCCTAGGGCAGTGGAGAAGTCCAACAAGTGAAGTCTCATAGCCTGCTCATACAATCACAAGGTTCCCCTACTGCCCGTTCAAGATTGGAGAGAGGCCAAAGTGGGTGGAGCGAAACAGATGTTTGGCTGTTTAGATGGTTGCTTTTAGACAGAATGTGATTGAGATGAGAGTGCAGATTGTGACTTTCTGCCTTTCTGGTGCTACGCCGTCATGCTTTCCCTGGGTTTTAGAAGATAAAACTGAAACCGCCTTGAAGTATTTCATGTGTAATGTGATGTATCTTAATAATTGTGGAGCTAAATCTTTCCTTCATGGAAAATGTAATCAAGTGAAACAGCCAAGTATTTTACATGAATGTGTGTGATTGTAAACTGAATTCGAGCAATGTTGTTGTATAAAGCAGTTAACTGACTGACTGCCTGTGCTACTGTATGAATGTATGGTAAACTGATTTTCGTTCTATCATCTGCCCTCGTGATTAGCCCTGTCGTAGAATCCTCTTATTTCATTACATTTACGGTTTCAGGGTTCTCTCTGTATTTCATACGATATTGCTAGTTTATTTGACACAGCTGAAAAGATAACCTTTTCCTCGGGCTCATTTCTGGGCAGAACTCCGTCGCCCGGGTAGAATGCAGTCAATCACTCAGCATTAGCAAACCCTCAACTGTTGTAGGTGTATTCAGGGTGGTTCTTCTTTCTTCTGGTTTCGTTCATCTTTGTGTTTTCACCTGCAGTCTTGAGGATTCTTAGTACAGGTTTAATGGTGTTTGGTTTGATCTTTTTAAGGGATTTTCAGCGAATCTTCAAAGTTGTCAATGTTCCCTTAATTTTGATCTTTAGACTTCTCTTTGGGTTGAAAAGCATCATAAAAGGCTTAACTCCATAAGATAGAGCAAGGAAATCACCATGTGTTTGACTTAGGTATAACCACTTTTTATCGAGTCAAAAACATCACCATCCTCAAAGATATCCTTTCCATTATTGAGATATGCCTGCCGTCTCCCCAAGATATACTCCAATCATCTCTTTGAATTATTATTATTATTATTTCTTTTTCATTCTTGTGATCTTGTCTTTTGTATTCTTTGTTGTTGATGACCACAGACCATTGTCATAGAGAGAGAGCGAGCCATGCCCATGTTAGAGTACTATGTATGAAACTATGAATCATAGAAAAGCCAAAAATTCCGGATTCATTGAACAAATATTTCAACAACTCCAGTCACGAGAGGAGCTCGATGATGAGAATTGAGACATTTTGCAGACGTTTTTTTTTCTTGTCCATATTATCTAGTATGAATCTAACTTTGTCTTATGTTTGTTCAGTATCGTCAATGGTGGAACTGGTAAACAAGACTAATACAAATTTCGGCTACTAATCATTCGGAAATCAACTAGTGACATTCCTAATCATTACCAACTTCACTAAGTACCAAATAAAAATATATCGGGATGGGATTAGATTGTCGTCCATATCATAGATTGAAATCATATCTTTCTTTACTGTTTCTTTGCGACAAATTTTATAAGCAACATTTTAGTGCTGTCTTTTTCCATTGAATCTCTAAACCTTTTTACCATTATATTATCTTTTGCGCCTTATTAAATACTTGGGGTTTGATCCATAATTTCGGAATTAGCGGCGAGAAATGAAGAAAACATCAGGGTTTGGGTTAGGAAGATTGTCCCGTGACATGAAAATTGGCAGAGAGAGGTTAACAAAGAACCGTGAATTTTGTCAAAAATCGCGCTTTAATTGTTGTGATAAATAAATCATGAGCAGTTTTCCAACCCAGATTCATCTCAATATATAATTTATAAATTTTAAATTAATTCATCTTTTCCGCATTCGTGGGCTTCTTATAGACGTTTGCCATTGAAGAAGAAATTAGTAAAATGGTTTTCCCCTGCAGATTAAGTTTTGTTTTCCAACTAAGAAACGTAAAATCACGGCGATGGTTAAAAAGTCAGTAGAGAAAGCAAAGCATCTGGGGGAGGAAAGAAGAGATTACAAGTAATGATGACACAATTAGTGAATGAAAGCTGGAAGGGTTAGTGGAACTCTACCCACATATAGTAGACCATTATTACTAGGGATGAAAAAATCAAAAAAGAACTCCCATTATTTTACAAAGTGACTGCTTAGTAGCCTTTGCAAATGTTTCACTTCCACACAGCCAAAAAGGCAAAAAAAATACAATCCCGTCCATATCACAATCTCTTATCTCAGATAGTTTAAACCCCTCACAGTGAATGTAAAAATAACAGTAAATTCAATGAATCTTCAACCCATATATCATTGGCCTCCTTGACTTTGAAAATCTCCATTCATAGCATATTTTTACCAATTTGGCTGATGTATATATTACTCCCTCCGTCCCATAATTATTGTCCAGTTTGTATTTTCATTTCTGGTTCAAATTGTATTAAAACTGAAATGTTAAACTGGACAATAATTTTGGTACAGAAGGAGTATATGATATGGAATGTTACACGCCAATATCATATTATCTTTAGTTCATTCCGCCATTATTTGAATTTGGACAACGATGTAGCACCTTCCCCCTAGTACAAATTGTTTTTATGTGTAACGCCATTTATTACTAGTATTAAACTCGTTAAGATACCAATGCATTAAGGCTCGCTCGCTAGTAGTACTACTATTTTGCATATGTGCCCTAAATTGCCACATTGCATAACTCAATACCAATTGTTGGGCTTGTTGGTGGACATCAAAATTATCATTTTTTTTTTTTTTTAATTTCGTGAAGTTTCCTTATCTCAGGCCAAGGTTTGCCATTTGGATGTGCGATTGAAGGAAAGCTAATTAAGGCAATGAGGTCCATGGGTGGGTTGTCACAAAGTGTTAACTCGTTGAAATGATTGATCCCCAATTGGGGATGTGTCATTTCAATCAGTCCATATCGAATTATTCCACTCCCCCCATGATTCACTTAATTCCCTTATCCTTAATTACCACAAAAAAATTCAAAGGTTATCTGTCTTTAAAAATCCCATTTGGTCCTTAAGATTGACAGTGCCTGGTATTAATTCAAGTACACTAGTCACTAAAGCAACTAGACATGTTTTGCCATGTTTATCCCTCTTTGAAGTTTGAACAAACGTGTCTCTCTCACACGCCCACATATATATACAAGGTGATCATCACATTTAAACCCGTATGAACAGTTATCCAAACGGATTAAATCTGTATTAGTGAATTTGAGGTAATCGAATTGAGAGGAAGTTAGCAATAACAATTCATTTTTTGAGATGAGTTCATGCGGCAGACATCCTAATAGAAAGCAATTGGAGAGATAATGATTCTGGTAATGAAAATGGAGGCATTGTCATGAATCCCTTTCCGTTTCCAACTTTTCTTTTTTTTCTTTTCACAACAATGGAGGTCCCAATTCCCCAGCACACCGTTCCTTTTATTGTTTGGTTGGCGAAGTTATTTACAGTCATTTATGGATGATTTTCACATTTTTATAGTATGAGAAGATTACAAAGTACAAAATATTGTCCAGAGACTTTATAGCTTAGCTAATGATGGTATCCTCGGCCACTGATGATGTTTTCATTGATTTGTTTACATCACTTTTATCTTCTTCTTTCACACCCTCTTTATATCCAAAAGGCAAACTATAATTCTTCTTCGTGCCGTAGCAATCCATCACATGAAGCCACCCCTCTTAGTCTTATTTCAAAATAAAATAAAATCCAACAAACGTTCACTAGACTTTTGACTATACCATACCGACTAGAATATACAGTAGTTCACATGTGAATTTATTTTCAACATGAACTTAATCTTAAAGTTGATACTGCAATTCATTGTTTACACATTATTATATATTAATAGTACCAAAAGATCGTTATTCCTATGATTAAGTGATGAAAATTCATCTTCGCTTAAAACATGTATCGTGTTCAACCTCGTGTATATGTAAAAACGCCTCAAGTCGAACAAAATAAATATAGCTAGAACAATTCGTACTCATTTAATTGAAAAACCTCATGATTCCAATAATAATAATAATAATAATAATAAAAGAACTATTGTTTATCGTGAAATGATTTGGTTCGATAACTATGATAATAATACTAGTACACATTAATGCCTCGCTTACTTTTTTCATATCATTGAGTTGGTGGTAGATAATAAATATCGAGCGTATTAAAGACCTCGTGGTACGTACTTGCGCAAGTAGTCTCATTGGAATTTTACCTCAAAAATGGATGCAGTGAGTTTGGTGAGGAGGTATTATAGTGGTTAAGGAGTCCATCTCCTTTCATGTGCCTCAATAATGGATACATCTCTCATTCTCCACCACCAAATCCAATATTATTAAAACATTATCGTATTCCTTTCCTCCCAAAACAATACTAATCTTTTTTACTTTTTTAATTCAATAAAATGCATTATTTTTCATAACGGGGTTATGTAATTTTAAGCTCGTCGGTTACCATTTTGCCATCATCAGGCATTCAGATTAGTGTATGATTTGGTTGGCTAATGTTACCGTTTAGGCGTTTACTATAATGGTCTCTCACCCATGTGGTCATCGAGGAATAGGCTGCCAACTTGTGATTTAGTTAAGGGCCTGTAGTTTAATACAGTAGTAATTAGCAAAATCATTTACCATAATTTGACGATATTGCTACGATTCCATACGGTGTACCTAATCTGAGCAATTTGGCAAAGCAAAACTACAAAACTTTCACTTAAGAGAGAGGGGGTGGCAGATTTTTTTTTTTTTGAAATGCTGGGGGTGGCAGATAATAGAAAAAGAAAATCAACGAAATCGACTGGGACGCTTTAATTATTTTGATTATTGCACTTTAGAAGTACTCATTAAACTTAACCCAACCCACGTAAGAATATGAAATTATGAATAAAAGTTTTGGAAAAAAAGTGCTCAAATAAAAATATAAAATGTCCTTTTTTCCGATTGGATTTGAATTAGGTGCATTATAGCGCAAAAAAAAGGGGGGTGATATTCTGGGTGCAATAATAAAAGAAAAGATCCAGTCGATGATCCTAGTAGCATTTAATAGCACACATGTTTCACTAATTGCTTGTGAGGCTTGAAAAGGGAAAAAAAATCTGGGTCTATAATTGTTTTAAGAATTTTTTCCATTATTTTTGCTTCAAACCGACTAATGGAATGCTAGTACCATTGCCTCATTAATGAGTTATATTATACCGTTGAGTATGGTCAAAGACAATCCATATGTGATGGTTTTTTTCTTTTCTTTTTTCCCTCCCTTTCTTTAATTAATTACAGCCATGTGAACTGTCCTTTTTTCTTACCCGAATAAAAAATAGTTACATTTAACCATTCACAAGGTCGAATCCAAAGATCTTATAACATTGATCGCATACATTCCCCCCCCCATGACGGTTAAGGGTTAATTAGCTAGGCAGGCGATCCTTTTAGAAGTTTGGGATCTGGATCCGGATCCTTTGGTGTTATCACGAAATGGTTTTAATTGGCTCAAATGAATGAAGATGAAATTTGTAACTTGAAAAAGTATGGAATGCAGCTGTGCGAGCTGATCGTCTTCCTTCATTGCATGAAGTTGGATAAGCTGATATTTGTGAAGCAATGACACTGAATAATTTTACTCAACTCCAATTATTTTAGTTTAAAAAGCATCACAAAAGAGCAGATGTTGTACTGCAAGCTTACAGTCAGATTATCTTCTCACAATTCTTAGTAAATTTTGTATTCATGTTTCAAAAAATTAGTCGATATTGAGATTTGATTTCAATTTCAAAAGTAATAAAAATCTCTAAAATTGACGCGGATTATTATTATTTTTTTAAATAGATGAATGACTAATTAAATTGCCCATTACAAAGTGCATAGGAATAATTAATAGAAAATCAGATATGCAACCTTGCCGCGAGAATGTAATTAAAATAACGTTGGAAATGGGGAAGACGGTAGCTCTGACGTGCATATAGTAGTGAATGTTGTTTGGCCGCTAGATCCTACAACCTTGCCTCCGCCCGCGCCGGAATGACTACCGCCCCACTCACCCAAAATTGGTGTTCCGTCCACAAAACAAATCATGTGGCCTATCTGATCGTATTAATTACTCCTTTCTAGTTGTGCTAAAAAAGAATACCAAAAATAAAAGACATTCTGGAACAATTTTTTTGGTCAAATTCCGTCTGGTTAAATGATTGAGGAATCGTGATGAACGTTGGAACATTTAACCAGTGGAATAGTTAGTTAATCGCGACTCCTTACCGAGTAGTATGAGGTAAATGAATGGTAAGTGCACAGTAAATGATACGCCCTCAATTTTAAAATGTATTGTACTAAATTAAGGAGACAATCATTTAATGATTAATTTATGTGTTAAATGTTTATTTTGTCATTTATTAATTGTTTTGAAACTATAACCAAAACTAGATGAAAAGTTATTAATATCATTTATTGAGGCAAAGTTGAAAATTAATCATTAATTTATCTTAAAATTCTAAAATGATCAATATTTTAAAATATTTCTCAAAATTTAAAACAAATTATATTTTAAAATGAATGGATTACAAGAAAAAAGGTGATGAAGTCAGGAAAGAAAACACACCTCCTTTTGGGAGAGTAATGAGAAAAAGGAATCATGGGATGGGATTGAAAGGAATCCAACCCCTCCTTTTTGAGTGTTTTGCAATTCCCTATGTGCGCAAATGAACCGTGTATCGGAGAAAGGAGGGAGAATCAAACGGCGTCAAACATATTTAGACGTCAGCCAAGTAGTTCCCTATGGCACGTGGGACTCCTTGACTGGAAGAAAAGAAAAAAACACGTGAGAGAGAAATGCGTAGATCGGTACGTGACGTACCGGCCGTGACTGTCAATCAGCCTTCACTTGGAAACTGATTGTTGTATAGTTCACTAAACTTGTCAACTCTTGAAGCTCCAAAACTGAGTCCGTGAATCTGCTGTTGCGTTATTATGAAAGGAAGAATATCAATGGTGGCTATTCAGCTCGTGTTGCTTGTGACTTGTGACCAAGCTGGAGTTGCTCAGTTAAACGGAACAGTGATTTCAAACGCTAATTGCAAAACGAGCAGTTGGTAGTAAATTTAGGTATGGATCATGATATGTTAATTTCCGTTTTGACAATCTAATTTCATTTTCCCCTCTAATTACTGACATATTTTTATAACTTGAACGATCTATTTATGAAATTTTGTCTATAATTAAGATCGGAACGGAACATACACAACTTCAATGACACATATTCATCATTGTATATATTTCTGACCCATGCACTAGGGGAATCGATTAAACCAGAAATCCAAAAACAAAGACAAGAGAGAGTTTGTTTCGATGCCAATCATACCAATCGCTTTTCCTTATTTTTAAGTTATCTTCCATATAAATGTTTGGATTTTTACATTAAAATGAAAAGCCAAGTTTGTGTATATATATAATTTGGAAATGGACCCAGCATTTACAGCCAAACGACGAAATTTATCACTTTCGGCCATAACTTCTTTTGACTCTATGTTCTTTTGGACGATTGGTATTTATTTTTTTTTTATAATAGTTAAAAAAATGATTAGCGGGGCCTATAAATTATTGATAATAACTCCATGACAAAATTTTGGTTTATTGGCGAAATGACATATATGTATATATGTATGCATATGTATATTTATAGTCTCCGTCACGCAGTATAAGACATTGAAATTTATTAATCTTTGGACCCGTTAAAAAAGATTTTTCAATTATATTTTTGCTGGTAAGGCTAACGTATTTGTGGACAAATTATATCATGCAGACTTGATCATATGCAACTGGCTTTCATGCATGATGAAAATTTATCATTGCCTCAAAATCGACATCTTCATGTTTGGTACTCCCTCCCTTAGCTCCGAATTTCAACACACTTATCTACTTTCGATCTTTATTTTATATAAATTGGATTATAAAAAAAATTTGAACGTAAACAAATATTTTGAAACATAGAGAATAAAAAATTTTATATCATCATTTTTTTTCCCCTTAACCCTATAATAACCATTGTACTAAGACCTTGGACATGTGCATTGATGAATGTTGCTGAGGGCTGACACACGAGTTAAACTAAAATGCCATTAAATTAACTTAATTTCCATTGCGGAAAAATGATGATGTTTTTGTAATGGTACGTATAAATGGCAAATGATGATATTGTCAATAATTCCATTTTGTGTGGATGTAAAAAAAACAAACTGGTAGTAATAATTAATGTACGATAATAGGTAGCAGTAATTAAAATGGAGTAGTATAATTGAGTAGTTTCTGTAGTATCCGGTTATATATACTAACACAGGCCATCATCAGGCAGCAGCTACCAGATATAGGCCTAATAAACACCCAAATCAGTATGAATGAGCATCGGCCTTTCGAAGTTTCACAGAAATGTATGTCTCTACTTCGTCGGCCATTTAATCATACCCCTTTGGATTGCAAAGCTGCAACAAATAAATATACTTCGGCCATTGCCAAAATTTATGTATGTACTACTACCATTTTTTTATTTTATTTTTTTCTGATTTTGGATGGACAGAAAAAGTAATACAAATCACTGCGTTTTTATTTGGGGTTTTTATTAGTTGGCATTGACTGCCAAACATTAATGAAACCCGGAACTCTCTTATCATCACCAACTAAAGAAACAAAAAAGAAGAAAAAAAAAAAGAGTTGCATTTAGTGTAGGAATTATTATTGGTCATTATATTATTATTCATCATCATGGCCACTATCCCACCTTAACGTTCATTCTGATTTCTGAAGGATAAAGAAAAACAAAAGGTCTTGTGAATCAAAAGCTCATTAATGCAATAATGCACCAGCATTTTAACATTCTTGCAGAATCGTTCTTAGATTCGTGCATATGCGTTGTTAATAAGTTCATTTTCAATTGTGTTTTTCTTCTGTTCTGTATACACTTTGGTCTGAATAAATTCGAGTGGTCCAACCAAAATTTTTGCCTAATTAAAAACTTATCGATTTTGTCAATTGGATTGTTAGTTATAATCTTGTGCATTTCTTTCCAATAAAGTAGAGTTAAATCTGTTTAAATAATACTTTCACGATACCAACGTCTTGCATATACACATTGACGCCAAAATCGCAATTGACTTTGTAGGGATTGTTGGACGATGATTATATGACTTTGCAAGTTAGTGCAAAGAAAAGAATCTTGGGAAATGGGGTTAAACTTTGAAAAATCAATACTAACTGAATTATTTAATTTTTTTACCGAATTAGTAGTATAACAGTGTAAAGGCTACAAACTACAATGCACAAAGGAGAGCAAGAAACAACCTATACCGGCACAATTCTTAAGAAACTGCGTTAAATGGCTTTAAGCAAACCAGACAGATTGCTTCTCAAGTTGAAAAATCAGAAATGCTTGCACATAAATTGAGAAACCGTAAAAATGATTTCTTAATTATGCTTAGGTAGTAGTAGTAAAAAAGAAAATGAAAACTTTTCATCGAAGTAGTAGTAATCTTAGATTATGGTTTAATTAAAGGGTTAAAAAAAAGGATTGAGTTTAAGTTCATACTTAAAAAGTTTATCACACTTGAACCGAGAGAATCTGCTTTGGTAGCAGGCAGAAGCAGGACGATTTGGTAGTCCACTATTCATATGGGCAGCAGCAAGCAAAAAAAAAAACTTGCAATTTCTGATAGTAAATGTGCATTGAAAAGTGGTGTATAAAAAAGTTGACAGTGGACACAAGCCAGCCAACCCCGTTGACTTGTTGCTGCTATTACCCTTTGGTTCAGGAAACAAACATTAATAATTCTGCACAGTAGACAATTAGCATTAAGTAAGGAGTAATAACCAAATAAAAAAATAAAAAAAAACACCCCCACTTGGTGATCACTTGGTAAAATGAACCATTAACCTACCATTAAGTTTGGGTCAGAAACGAAGTAGTATTAATTTATTCACCTTGGTAAAAGATACAATAGTTATATTGGATCAAACTAATGTACTCATAATAATAATGTAGATAGAGAGAGATAAGGACGAGTGAGATTTCTTGGAAGAAGATTGATAGTTTTGGAAGTTTTGCAGTGGGCTTTTTATAGGGTGGTTTTTAATAGAATCACAGAAACAGCAAAAAAAAAAAAAGAATACTTACACACCAAATGGACCTGCATAGAATACTAGAAAAGAGATCAAAAGAAGTTTTTTTTCTCTCATGTTATTATTATTAGTACCTCAGTACTCCTAATTCGTCTTATTTGTCAATCCCATTCCTCCTCCTCCTAGTTATGTTTTCTCTCCTCCTCCTTCCTCCTCCTTCCTCCTACCAAATCCAATTCCTTTCTCCACCGTCACCATAATAATCATTGTCTGAAACAACCCACAAAGAAAAAAAATAAAAAGGAAGGCGAAAAGAAAGAGGTCCAAAAATGGTGTTGGGATGGAGAAGGGCGTTTTGTACATCGATCCATAAAGATCGGAGCTCCAACTCTTCTTCATCGTCTTCATCAGGGAGGCATGACAAGAATAAAATTGCTAATGATGGTGGTGCCCAGAGTGATCCCTCCACTCCAAAGTTTAGTTCTAAGCTAAGGTTCTTTTCCAATCCTTCGACGCCCCGGTTGCAAACTCCGCCGGTTTCGAGTCCAAGTCTCCGTTGCCGGACCACCACCAGTACAGCTCCGTCTACGCCGACGGCGCCGGAGAGTCCAAAGCTGAGGTGTAAGACCACCACCACTAACAGCCCCAGATTCTTCCAGCGTTCCAACCCATCTTCTCCTCGCTCCCCTTCCACTTTTTCTCTTCTTAAATCCACCCTTCGCCTCTCTAATAATAAGGTGGGTTTGCAAATACTATTTCATTTGTTAAATCATAACTTTACTTATCACTGGTGTTTCTGATTTCCTCTCTCTTCCGTCAATTTGATTAGAAAATGGAGTAATTTTTTGTGCTTGGAAAAATGGCAGGCGAAATGTGGAATATGTTTGCAAAACGTCAAAAGTGGGCAAGGAATGGCAATATTCACGGCGGAGTGCAGCCACAGCTTCCATTTCCCCTGCGTCGCCGGCCACGTGAGGAATCAGGAAGCGATCAGGTGTCCTGTCTGCAACTCTCCATGGACTGAAATGCCCTTGCTCTCCATCCACAATGTCAGCACCGGCCACCCTCAAAATCAAATGCCAAAGCTTGCCAAAGAAGAAGGGAAAAAGATGGAATTTCCTTCGTCCCCAAGGACGCCTACATCTCTTAATCAGCATACCGGAAGCGGAAACGGGAAGCCTTCTTCAGTGGTGTTGAAAGTTTACAATGATGACGAGCCTTTGATGTCACCCACTTGTGGAGCCAGGTTCAATCCCATACCCGAATCAGACGAGTGCGATGAAGATATTATTGAAGAATTTCAAGGATTTCAGACCACTTCCAGTCCTTTGTTTCAGAAAACAGCTTCCACGTCTTCCAGTAATGTTGAGTCGAGAATATTGCCGGAATCCGCCGTGTTATCCGTTTCCCGGAATCATCAGACTCTCGTGGTCGTGCTGAAAATCAAAGCTCCTCCGGCTCCGTTAGTAGCAGCCAGAAGAGCTCCGATTGATTTGGTGACAGTGATTGATGTGAGCGGGAAAATGACTAATGAGAAGCTTCAAATGGTAAGACGATCCTTGAGGCTGGTGGTTTCCTCAATGTCCGCCGCCGATAGACTCTCAATCGTGGCGTTCTCGTCCACCTCCAAACGTCTGCTGCCACTGAGGAGGATGACGACGGCCGGACGGCGATCAGCCCGACGGATAGTTGACGCAATCGTGGCATTGGATGGAACAGCACCCGCGTGTGCGAACGATGCGCTCAAAAAGGCTGTTAAGGTCCTCGAGGATCGCCGGGAGAAGAACCCCGTTGCCAGCATCATACTGTTATCGGACTCCTTGGATTTCCACCGCTCACACAATCAGAGGCGGCAGACGTCGACGGTGTACACCACGCGCATTACTCATCTCGAAGTCCCAGCGGTTGCAGTGGGGTTCAATCCCAGCAGCAGCGCGTTGGATCAAACGCACCCGGTGGACGACGGTCTCCCGAAATGCATCGGGAGCTTACTGTGCGTAATGGTGCAGGATTTGCGGGTGAATTTAGGGTTTATTCCGGGCGGGTCGAATCAGGCGGAGATATTGGGGGTTTACTCGTACGCGGGGCGGGCCGCTGCACTCGGATCGGGTGTGATCCGTCTGGGTGAGCTGTTCGCGGAGGAAGAAAGAGAGCTGCTGGTAGAATTAAAAGTCCCATCAGTGAGTTCACTGGGGCCCCACCACGTATTGTCCGTTAGATGCTCATACAAAGACCCGTCAACTCAAGAGCTAATCCAAGGTAAAGAACAACCTCTCTTGGTCCCACGCCCACGCGCCGTCCGATCAACCACCCCAACCATCGAGCGCCTGAGAAGCCTCTTCGTGGCCACCCGAGCCGTGGCTGAGTCACGGAGGTTAGTCGAGAAGAGCGACTTAGCCGGAGCTTACCAGATGCTGTCGTCGGCTCGGAACATGGTGTTGCAAGCCGGGTCCGGCGACGAGGTGGTGCGCGGCTTGGAAGCTGAGCTGGCGGAGTTGCATTGGAGAAGACAGCAGCAGAATCAGGTCCGGCGGAGACAGAACGTGGAGAGGAGACCGGCTGCTAACTTGGATGAGAAATCGAGTGAGCCGCTCACGCCGACATCGGCTTGGAGAGCGGCGGAGAGACTGGCTAAAGTTGCCATTATGAGGAAATCCATGAACAGAGTCAGCGACTTGCACGGCTTCGAAAATGCCAGATTTTAGACCTTTTTTTTTCTTTCTTTTGGTTTAATACTATGTGAAAAAAGAAAAAGATAAATTAGCTGCAGTATTGTAAAAAATAATTATTCAGAAAAAAAAAAAAGAAATGGAAAACCTAGGGAGTAAAATAGCGACAAAAGGTACTGGACGGATTGGCGCTTTCTGCAAGAGGAGGGAAACAAATGGGTAATTAGAGAGGAAGAAAGAAAAACAGAAAAAAAAAAACCCACAACCCACAATGGTGTGATTGATTGAGGGTCTTTTTTATTTTGTTTAGGGGAGAAAGAAGGCTCTTTTTGTCCTGAAATTTAATTTTCATACCTTTGAGCCTTTTCTCCCACTTTTTTTTTTCCCCCCCTTTTCATTTTAGGTTTAATTTTATAGTGCAAAGTAATATGTAGAGAGGATTGGATGATGATAATGGAAATGAACAGAAATAAAGCCTTTTTCTTTTTTTTTCCTTCTTCTTTTTTGGCGTTGATGATTGATGATTCCCTTGTGGTCCGATTTGGGGGAAGGTATCTTTATTGTTTTTATCCTCTTAAATTACATTATTATAGAGAGGTTGGGCTACGCACCTAGGCCTAAATGGTCCTATAATTTTTTAAAGCCTTCGTACATTATTTGTTATTATTATCGTTGGGTTGCGACCAGAATGAGTATTCGGTCATTATTTAATTTGTGTATGGATAGATGGATAGAGAAATAGATGGTCAATGTGGTTAATTTATTTGTACATGTTTAGGGTTGGTTCCTAAATTCCAAAGCACAAGGATTAAGTTAGATGAGACAGTATGTCTCTACGCGTTGTACTACTATTCTTTTTACTTTGCCAATGCCGTAGATCGCTAAGAAGCCAACAATCTTATAGCCCTAATTTTCATTTTGTATGTTAGAGGCTCACATTTAAATGGCACTAACAAACATAAAGTCCTCCTTGTAGAACTAAATGGTTCAACAAATGGAGTACTTATTTTGGAACGGAATAGGATATGGTTTTTGCAAGATCAACTCTGATGTGAATCTACAGATTTGGATATGTTGTACTAGTGCTTTATTTAGTTCAGCCTGGTTAATATGGTGGTAAATTGGTAATGGGCTATGATACATTTGAGTAAACAGGGGGAGAAAAAGGTTGGGGGTTGCATTCAGAATTCAGACCTGAGGACAAACTCTGCAATGGACTACTACAAAAGACAAAAAATACTTTGGGGGGTGCCCTTTTTTTTGTGACAGTCAAGCATTTAATTTTGTTCAGACTGAGGTATTCAGATTTGGGTCAGAAAAAGGATCAAAACAACAAAAAAAGTTTTATTTTTTTTATCTCACTTTTTTTTTCCATAGGTGTCAACATGGTGTTTAGCCCGTGTGCATCTACGGATATTTTGTTGTCCTATTATCACTGTCACAATATTCTTGTTTACAATGCTTTTAATTTGTATGTTTTACATATAAATCTAATCAAGCTTACTACATAACGAAGATGAAACCATTTCAAAACCTCAGTTATGCAACAGTTTTTTTTTTTTTGCTTTAATCTGTTGTTCTTTTTATGAATTTGATCTCACAAGTTATAACTATACAAAAATTCACTTGTGTGAACTAATCACTGTCACCCAAGCTCAAAGGAGACACAATAATCATAGTCATTTCCAAATGGAAGCAAAAGTGATTGATGTATATTATATGGGGATGTCTTTGTACATGTTACTCCCTCCATTTCAAAATAAGTGTCGTTTCAACAAAATGAAAAAATTTCAAAATAAGTGTCGTTCTCACATTTCAATGCACTTTTTGTCAAAAGTTTCCAAAATTACTCTCAAAAGAGTTGATGCTATTGATGGACAATTTTATAATGGGGTTGGTTGAGGATATTCAAGTAATTTTATTACCCTATTTAAGAGTTTCTTAAACTATGTGCAAAGTATAGGACGACACTTATTTTGAAATGGAGGGAGTACCAAATATATATAGAGTTATTGGTCCCGTCCTAAAGCATAATTACGTCCCAAAACAAGACATAATCACACACGCATTTAGAGTTGGAAACCATCGAAATCATGCAATGAGTATCATGAGTTATACGGTAAATCACTCCTTTTTCATAATCCCGAGATAATTATGCAACAAAATAATATATATGCTTTTACTGCGTTTAAAAAGTTCCACGTTAGCATGACTTTAGCTTCACGTTAGTGAAAATTAGCCTTTTCAACTGAAAGTTTGCTGCAGCTTCTGCTTGGGAGGAATCAAAAAAGGTTTTTTCTTTTTCTTTTTTTTTTATAAAAAAAACGAAAAAAGAATATTTTTTTAAAAAAAGTATAGAATACCAACGCAATAGAAAAAGTGGGAAATTGAGGAAGGCTTTTTTCATAGTACAGTGGCTAGTCTAGTAAAGAACTAGGATGAGTTTCTTCGTCACTTTAAAGAGATTTTTGATCATTTCCTGAAATCTCGCATCTTTTGGTTAATTTAGGAGTTCATCAAAATGATGAAAGAGTTTGCCTTTTCTCTGTTCCCTTTATATTTCTAGATTCAACGAACACCAATGAAAATCTCCAAGCACTTTGGTGTGTGTTATTGATGGTCACCATTTACATTAATATATATGCTAATGCTTTGGAGGCCAAATATCCAATTGTTTGTAAATGTTTTAAAATGCCAATCCAAAGTTTCAAACCACCTTTTTTTGGGGTATCCCAGATGCAAGATGTTGTCAAAAGTAAAACACAATAATTCAGACATTGGTCCAGGTTGAAGTGAACCAAATGATGCACTGTTTCATTAGCTTTTTCTGTTATGAAAAATGAGTAATGTTAGTCGGATACATGCTACACATTTTCTTATTTGAGCAGTGCGAATTCACCATCGAAAGGTAAAATTCTCTTAATGAGCATTTTACAACCATAAGATTACAATAAAATTGGTTCAACACCTTTCCCCATCTTTTAACAGCGTTTCTTTGAATGTTCCACAAGGAGTAATTTATTGAACAGCAGAACCTTTTTTTTTTTTTTTTTTTTTCATATTTGCAAAGTGTCTAGCGTCGACAACAGTGACTAATCCCCCTTGCTGAATTGTAAGCACCTCAATGGGTGGGACATTGAACAGCAGAACTTTAGGTGCATTTGATGCAAAAAAGAAAAAAGGCTGTTTGAAGACTATCATCAGTGTATTCAGGCTGTAGACAATTCAAATGCCACTTGTGCATTAGACATTTAAGGGAGCTGCTTACTGATGAAATGTATGTGCAAAGAATATGTATTTACACCTGTTCATCAGAAGCTACAACAGACGAAAACCTGAGTTCGGCATCGTTACGCCATGTCAACCCTATGCTACTGAGTATACAACGTCACAGAAAACAGAGAACAGAGTTTTCGTGGAATGGAAAAAGATGGAAAGAAAAACAACAAATTTTAGTACAACAGGAGAATGTTTGTGTACACTTCAGAAATATAACTGCTTGCATTGACCTACTTCAACTTCAGAGGGACAATAAGGACACTTGAAAGGCCTAGTGCTGTTGTTCTTTGACAGCTTGGTAATAGATTGCTTGCAGAGAACATGCCCACAGGACATGAGCATAGGTGGATTCTCTTCACTTGCCTGGTCACGACTTACTGGACAGACGAAGATAGAATGGAACTGAAATTCTCTGCCTAAATCCACTGGGACGGGTAACTGTTTCATCGTCTGCCATTCCTGTTTTTTGCCAGTCATTACATTCATCAGCTTTAGAAGGGTGGGTAGCCCTTGGACTCCAGCAGCAACTGTAACACTCAATGGGCTTTCATAGGATTGACCAATTAGATGGCAGAAATGCCGTGCAAGCTCCTCAGACAATTTTTCCCAATGCACTGAGGATAGCAATTCAGAATATGGCGAAGACTCGAGCCTTCCAGTGAACAACAGAGAGCACATGAGTTTCTGGAATTCAGTCATGTGACTGGTAGCAAAAGGAGCCAGAAAAGTCTTAGCATACTTCAAAGCTTCCTCTCTACTCCTATTCTGCAGGATCTCCACAAATTGAAGGCGATGGAGTTTAAACTCGATGTCTGATCCATTTTGTTTAAGCGGATCGTGATTGCTAGCAGCCCATTTCAGTGCAGGCTCCAAGTTCCGCAACTTCATGGCTTCAAGTATTTGATACATTTCGAAGAAAGATGACTTTGCAGCTTCCCCTTCGGATACTCTAGCTTCATTCACAAAACAGTCACCCAGTTCAAACTGACCTTCTCTGTAGAAATGGCTAGCTATTATCTGATTAACTATTTGGGTATCAAAATCAACATTCCTGTAGGCCTTTGCTATATCAGGGTTAAAGGATTTCTCTAAAAGCTTGGGATACTTGGTTAATGCAACATTTAGATCCTTCTGTGTGGATTCAAGCTGACTGAGAGGAGCAACTTCTTTCAACTTGGCTTTTAATTCTTGGAGGATTACCTTATGATCAGTCTCAGTCATAGCATCTTTACTAGATTCTATCCTTAACAGAGCTTGTTGCATTTCTTGTGCAATTTGTTCTATCATTTCCTGGGATTTTGAAGATGAAAGTTTTTGCTTCTTTGTCACACGATCAAATGCATCCTTGATGGTATTCAATTCCATTCTTCTCAGATTACGAACCAGCCTGAGAAAATGGCAAAGTAAAGAGTTACATTGAATTCACAAAATTTGTACTCGGAGAAATTGCACACGAGAAAGGATTATTTTTGAAGAAGTGGGGAAATCAAGAGCCCTAGTCGTAAATAAAAGAATTGAAGCTAAGCAGTTCAAATAAGGTGTCAGAAACTTCTCTATGATCAACCAAATCCTTTGGCCAACAACTCTCCCATGTTAAACAGAGATTTGAATGACAGAATGCATCTTGCAATGTGTATTTATAGAAATGGAGAAATCATAATGAATTCATGAGAAGCTCTCTGGTGTGACTTGCTTAATAAATGAACAAAGCCAAATAACAAGTATCTTTCAGACGCACCGAGGTTGAACTGACTAACAAAGAAAGGAAAAAAAAAAGGATTGACTGATATATTGTTAACCATTCACTTTTAGCAATTTATATGTACAAACAATCTAGATACTCTTCTCTTTTCTCTCCAGATACTTTCTGCTTACAGCATAACAGGCAAAGTTCAGGAAAAACAGCACACTGATGTTTGGAGCAAACCAGGCCAACAGAAAAAAGGGCGCAACATGAAAGGTAACCACAAAATGAATATCCAAGCGATATAAAGAGGGTAGAGAGAAAAAGAAAAGTTGATTGGAGTAGCATAATAATCCTAGTAGCAAGGCTATATGCAGGTTTTATGATGAAGATTATCGAACTTACACACCGCACGTGCAATGCCAGCAAGTTTTAATTGATCAAAATTCTCCATTGTTGATTATAATTGTAGGACAAAGTCCAATTTCCTCATATAATTTTCACAGGACAGTTTGGTGTGGGTAAATTGTGTTTACATGAAGGCAGGCGGTCCAAGCTGTGTTTCCAAGTTGCTTCAAACAAGGTTCACATTGCAGTCTTAGCAGCTAAAAGAAATGGTAGGCCAAGTTCTAAGGAGAGGGGATACATGGCTGAACTTCCAGACATCTATGAAATATTAAAATCCAATGTGTCAACCAGTAAATGGCCCACAATAAGCAGTTCAAAGACCATGAAAAGCATTTATTTTATGCATTGGACAGACAAAAACAATGAAATTTGCGGATTATTTTTTTCACATGAAACACATACAAAAAGAAAATCACCAAAAGATTCATAGCCTGAAGTCTTCAAGCTTTTCACAGGATGCTCATCCAAACCAATTTAAACCACATCAACTAACAAAGCATGGGAGATAAATTAGACAACTTTACTAGAGTCTTTTCATGGACTGACCTGACATTCTAACTGACAAAAAAGTTTTGGCAAAAACGCAAAAGAAATTGATGCAGGCTACATCTTCCCCCAAGTAAAATTCCGAACAATCAAAGAACTAGCCGAGATTTGACACAAAAGGGGGAAAAAAAAAAAGAAGAAGAAGCTTTTATCATTTAACGGGATTCACTTGGTGTAACAACAAAATTTTAAGTTGCATCTTCACCAACGAAAGAAAATGCCGTTAACAAAAGGAAAAATTTCTGCATCTAACCAGATGGAAAATTAGAAAAGACAAACATGTAAACAGAAAAACAGGATCATCATACGCAAACAAACAAACAGCCTGTTATTGAGTGTGGAAGAAATCGAGAAACGATATTGCATCAAAAAATTAGATCGAAGGTGCGTTGAGTCAAGCTCCAATTCAGTAGCATAAGAAAAGTACGCAGAAGAAAAAAAGATAAAAAAGAGAAGAAAAGAACCTGCGAGTAACGCTCAAAAACTGCGTCGTATCGTGAGATTGCCGTCTCGCCGGAGGTAGTTAATTGCCGAGATACGTAATGATAAACCGTGGAATCCAACCGCCGGGCGCCGTGGTTAGGTGAGGTTAGTATTGGCGTGGAAGCTTTAAACTATACGGCGGGAGGAGCAAAACGGTGATGGGTTATCAGGCTCAAAAGAGAGAATCGGAGAAGAGAAAGGGAAAGAGGTTTCTTCAGATTCTTTTTTGTTGTTTTTGTAATCCGATTGATGATTGATTTTGCTTGCTTGCTTGCTTGCAACAGTTTCTCATTCCCGTTTTACCCTTGTCTTCAATTTTTCTACTCTTATCATACATGGCCACGAATCTTCGGCTCCGAGTCTGGCCCCACCCCTGATCAACTCCCAGCCGTTGATTTTCTAGTGATATGATCGGAATTATCAAATATTATGTCGTTTCCTTTTTTTTCTTTTCTTTCTTATCCTTCTATTATTCAACAAAAAAACATGCATATGGTAAACAATTGAATTAATTAATCTGGATTGTGATCAAACAAATGGACCAATTCATGAATTTGATGCAATATTTCAATAAAGAAACAATGCAAAATCGAAGCGAACAAAAGAGGAACCCATTCATCCCTTTACACAAATCCTAATCCATGCCTCCATGGTGTTGCCCAAACACCATTTTTAAGTACATACAACAAAACATGATACATGAGGAAGGTGACCTGCAAAGTGCAAACCTATATTCCTATTCATTGAAATCCTTCCCAAACTGAATGGTTCCACTGAGCATCTGAGAAATTACATCAGATCAAATCAAATTACAAGGTAGAAGTAGCTTCCAGAATCGCTTCTCCGCTAGCATAACAAAGGTGGCTCGTTGTCCCTAATTTGTATCGTCCTCTAACTGCATTGAGAAAAAGGAGTTGAAATTTAGTATAATCAACTTGGCGAACGAAAAGTTAGAATATGCATCGACAATTCTTCACTCCAGAACAAAAAAGTTCATAGCAACAATGAGAGTTAGACCCAGAGGGCGAATACTACTCAACCGCTACACAGTCTTAAGAGCTTTCTATTGTATGATCATCTTCTTCCAATTCATTCTCAGAAGTTAATCATAACCCTCTAGCTGGGACCAGCTATATTCTCAACGTAAATATTCTGAAGTGGCAAGCAGCTGATAGAATATCCACATGTGGGACTTTGTGTTGGTTTAATTATGGAAACCTACAGACTGAAATGAGAGCGCACCTGTAACTGTAATCAGGACCAAGTTTACACTTCACAATTTAAAGCACTGCTGCTGCCATGTAGACTCAACAAACTTATAGTAGTCCTCTTCTCCGTAAAGACGCCTGACGCATTAACAAAACAGAATGTGAGAACCTTTCAGTGTTAACAAGACGATGATTTCTCTTCATAATTTCAACTACAGAAAGTGCCAGTAAGAAAAAGTGAGATGATCAGCCCTTTAAAGAATAATAAACTCAAAACATAACCATCCCAGGGTTTCTAAAACAATTTAAAAGTAACACTGAGACTTATAATCTCATACAGATCAATTCCTAGAGCGAAAATGATATGGAAGTAGTGGAAAAACACCACTTAAATGCCACACTCCCTCCATCACAGGATAAATACTAAGTACAAACAACTTCGATGACAAATTCAATACCAGATTTTTTTCCCCTACGGAAAGAAGATAGGCTGTAACACAAGGTGGTTGGCCATGTAAATGTGCATAGAGTATCATATCCAAATATCAAAGAAGTCAGATCCATAGAATGACTAATTTTGAAGTTATAGTTGTCTGTTTTTCATAGATATGCTGAATCAACCCTTACATTGTTACTTTGAAACCATTATATCTGTCAAGCAACAAAAGAAAGGCAGATGACTACACCATAATCAAAACAAAATGAAAGCTTACGCAAGATCCATTAATGTCTCTGCCTTAATCACCGACTTTCCTTCAGGAAATTCAAGACAAGAGTGATGCATTATCATTTCCTTCAGAGTGTGCTTTGTGCTTTTGAGATCATTATCCCATAAAATACTCTGAAACCAAAAAAAACAAGTTGACAATATTACACCCCGAAATAGACCATAAATGATATAAATCAAGACCATATCTCCACCCCCACCCCCACCTTTCTTATGTACTCTCTTTTAACCTCCTCCCAAGGTAGCTTCCCATCAGGACAAAATATGGAAGCATTCCATAAAGCACCTCTGGCAACCATAACAGAAGAAGCACCTGTCATATGGGGATCAGAAGTTTAGCATTCCTACGATACGAAATAAAAGAGACACTAGAATACAAAAACCTGTTAAAAAACAAGCCTAGTACAGAAACAGCCTATAAAGGACACCATGCAACAAAATCTACAAAAGATTACTGATTAATGATAACACATATCTTGAGGAATATGAACACAATGGCCAATTCATTAGCTATAGCTAATCCCTCAGAGAAAACAGTACAAACAGAATCAGTCAGGTACAGTAGAAAAGAGCCTGAGATGATTTCATGGCGACTTGCGATATTATTTATGCTTCTTTAGAAGAAAAATTAGATGGTAGTAGAAAAGTGGAGATTACTAGGGAGAAGTCTGGGACGTAGCAAAACAGAAGATGGAATGTTTTGATTACCAGTAACAGTTTTGATGCGTTCAAAATCCTTAAACTCAAATACATCTCCATTAGCTATAACTGGAATAGAAACCGCAGAAACAACATTGGCGATTTCATCCCACTGAGCAGGGTCTCTTGGCCTGTCTGCAACTTTCCTAGAATCGTTAAAAGTAAAAAAAACCACTATGAGGAAGGAAGAACATAATGTGGAATAATGAAATCAACAAGGGGCTGATGTTTGGAAAAAGAATTTCCTTTTTGGGGGTAAAAATTGTTAAAAAGTAGGGAAAGGAATAGTAAAATGTTTCTTCTTAGAGTGCTAACTTAATTCTAATTAACTGAGAAAGTACACATTATTCACACCAATCCAGAGTCTATCAAGTACTCTCCAGTTGATGTCTTAGTACAAGTAACAATTAGAAAAACAAAAGCATAATCAACTTATTTTGAAAGAGCAGCAAGAGAAAAATAAGAAACTATCAGGTATGACATTCAATACTCTCACGAATTGAAATCTGGAATGTGCCAAGTTACCTTCCATGGACAGCAAGAGCAGGAACACCAGCTTTCTCAATTCTCCGAGCCAATTCCACTGTATCTTGAGTTGCTTTCAACAGTCGAATCTTGCATGTGACAGGAATATCCAAATTCCTCTTTAAGGTTGTTAAAATCTGGATTTGGAGACAGAAATCAAACAAAGTGCCGATTTGAAGCAGAATGAAGGGATGGGGAATGTTTTTTACTCACGTCATGAATGAGCTCAGGTTTACTCAACAGAGCAGCACCCATTCCTCCACTTATGGAAAAAGCTTTCGGGCAACCCATGTTGATGTCCAGAGCTGCAACATCCTTGCACCTGGAAGAATAGTCACCCAATTCAAAGAACCAAGCCACACACACACATTCTGTCAGTATATGTAAATACAAGGAATATCAAGCTACAAAAGCAGTAATTTTCCTCCTTTTAGTCAGGAAATACAATTGCTAATGAACTAGTGGAATACACCTGAACTACGATCACAAGGAATGCAAGCACATCTGTTTTTACCCTAGTGTAAGTGGATACCATGACAAGTTTGAAATTGTAAACATCAAAATCAAACTTACACCATCTCTGCAGCTTTAAGAGCCCTTACTGCATCAGAGGTGCCCATCTGAAAGACCACCCTATTTCTTTCTTCAGGGCACGTTCTGAAAACAACAGAATCCGTTCCTTTCTCCACGATATCGGTACTTCCGATGATATCTACTCATAAGGGGAAAAAGGGGCGATACGAATGCTTAGCATGGCTCGACAAAATCCAGTAAATTAAAATAGACATTAAGTAAATATAGCAACTATGCAAAAACTAACAAAAACAAGTACCGTTAATCCGCCGCTCACACTTGAGCAGCTTGTGATCAATAATTTCCTCCCCATATGTTATATTTGCACCATACTCTGCAGCTACTAACCTAAATGGCAATGTTCCCTGAAATGAAGTTCAACTAATTTAGCATTTGGCTATTAAATCGTCAATCATCAATCCAATTGAGAAGCGGATTCAAATTATTATTGCTCATACAAATCCAATTGAGAAAGTTGATTCTAATTATGATTGCTTATACAAAGGACTGGAACTAACAATGAAATTTGGGATAAGAATAGAACTCACAACGCGGACCATAGGCGCCAGAACTAGTTTGTTTCTGTATTCCATCTTTTATCCGGTCACCAGCGGCCTCTTCCCGGTTTGGAGAATCTCGAAACCGGGAAGCCTGGAGCGAAACCTGGCGGTGGCGATTTTGTTCTTCGAACGAAGAAGATCATTGTAAAGCCCGGGAAAGAAACGGATTCATGGGTCAAAAGCCCATTCTTGAGCCTTCTTGGGTTCTCCCTAGTAAATGGACCTAAACTGCCCCTTTCATGTCTTCTTCTTTCTTTTTTTCCTTTTTCCTAGTTAATCCTTTTTGACACGAATAACTCACAAAAATTACTTAGATTTTATTAAATGGTCTTTTACTCGTAACACGTAGGTATTTTGTATAACTGTCGTTGAAAAAAGAATATTATTAAATACAGCTTGAAGTCAACGGTAAAAGTGAAAAGTGCAGCTAATATGGTCTTGGCAGAAAATAAACAATAGTACTTTCGGATCTAATTGTTTGGATGAAAAATGTTTGGATCTAATTTTTATAAAAAATAGTTCATATTATAACACTCATAACGATAGAAATACAAATTTTGCCATTGATTTCATACGTAATATGTATCAGTATCATAGTGTACTGATAGTTTGTGGTTGGTAGATAACTCGTCATTAAAAATGTTTTCACATTTTAAAATGACGTTGAGAAGTCGCAAACTATTTGGCTTGTTACAACTTATAGTGTGTACAACAATCAACATCAGTCACAAAACTTTAAATAATTTGATATGGGTCTTCTCTGTAGATATATGTACAATTCTTTTATAATTAATCAACAAAAAACATAAGTGATTGCAAGAAGGATCGCATACTAATTGCAATAAGAATCACGTAACAAGGAATCAAAAAATAAAAAAGAAAACTTATGAGGACTATCATTTACTCATCTTCACTATTTCCAAGTAAAAAAAATCAAATTCAGATGAAAAGATATAAGAGGCCTCATGCATTCTAGGACCAGAACTACATAAGGAGCCCAAAATTCGCAGAACTATATATTTATGTGAAATCATAACTTCAAAAGAAGTCAAAAACTTGGCAGAGGCACAACTATATACTAGGCCAAAAATTCAAGAACTAGACATATATTTTGAGAAGTCACATCTTATAAGAAGGCTACTGGAACTGAAGTGCACCAAATGTCCAATCAATTTCTCGTTGTTGCACATGCTTTCGTCCAAATTAAAGCTAAAAGCCAGGTTTTTACCAAGCACTCTGAGTCTGAGTGAAAGCTTGCTTCCGCAACTTCTTTCCGGTTGCAGCTGGGACTCAGAGCCTGAAACTGAAAGCCTCATCAACTTTGCAACCTCATCACCCTTTAATGAAAAGAATGAGTCATACTAATATTTTATCTTTCAAAATATATGCTATCTTGAATATGAAATATAGAAAAAGATGAACATAATTTACACAACAAAATACGGACAAGAATTATTATATTACAAAACCCAACACAAACTTTATCATATTACAACGAACGCTCGGCTCACATGTGCTCATAATTTTATACTTTTACACAATACATATAATACAACCTGTGCAACGCACGGAGATAATTTTAGTAAACATAAGTATTGTTTCGCATTTATATGAGTATTACAATTAATCATCTGATCGTCTTGTGTCTCTTGATCATTTCCATCTTGTGTACTAGAGACAAAAATTAAGGGTCATTTCCATCTTGTGTACCAAAGACAAAAAGCAATGCAACAAACCCACCACTATTTGGCTAACTTTGCTACATTTAGCAAATATTATGGTCACAATATTAAGAGAATATAATCCTTAGGCAAAGCCTTTCAAAATTATCTGTAAAAATTAAAACTCGACTTAATTAGGATATTTGTACATATTCTCTTACATTTGTCTTTCGGGTTAATACAAATAATTATCACTCAAGGGGTAACAAAAAAGGACAAGGAAGGGAAATTGGTTTTAAATGAGATATCATATCATTATCAATTTATCAACTAAAAAACGCTTAATTGTCAAAAAAATCCCATAACTTGGGGTGCTATATTCATTTGGTCCCAAAAGACCAAAATCGTCCGCCTCAGACCCCATAACTTGTATTTTTAATTTTCCGTGAGTTGACCGTTAAATGGAACGGCCACATGCCTCTCACGTGACATTTCGTCAAAGGGCATATATGACCTTTCAATTTTTAACCGAAAAATGTTGACCCAAAACCGACTAACTCCAACCACTGCCCTTCCCGTCGGCGACACCGTCCGGTAATTATTATATTTCTGAAAAAAATATGTGACGACACGTATCAAATTGTAATTAATCAAAAAACATCTTTCAGAATTTAATGGATCGATCGTTCCCGTTTTTCTTCAGGAACTCAATCATTGAACTTGAAAAAAAAAAAACACTCCCAATTTCTTCGCCAAACTCACTTCATATTAGCAAATTCTCCAAACAAATCTGAACAAAAAAGAGTCCAACCAGAGCTTCATGCTTGTAATCTTCATCCAGAGTATTCTCTCCCCTCCACATCTTCAAGTCCCAAGATTCGCCCAGATCAATTTTGATTCAATTTTCTCAATAATCTACTAATTTTCTTGCTCGTATTACCCTCAAATCCCCATATTAATTTCCCCAATCCCTAAGTTGACATCTATTATTTGAGGGTTTATCAGTTTGAGGAATAAAGTAGTCAATGGTGGCTTCTGGGGAAATATTCCTGCTTTCTGCACTAGTGAGTTTAGTTTTTTTTTAAAAAAAAAATAATTATTTTTATTTTCTTTTTTCTTTTCTTCTTTTGGTGGGGAGTGGGAATCATGGAGAGCAGATCGTCTGTACATGATGATCCTTTCTTATTCTGCCTTCCAACAAAATCGGTGCCGTTTAGATAAGAAAAAAATTAGTCCCATTCTTTTCTCCGCTTTATCTTTTAACTGGAATCCTTCCCTTTGATCGGAAAAAAGAATTTCTTCCTTCTACTCGTGTAAGATCTGGATCCAAGTTCATACTCGATAGTGAAAAAGCAGTCTTATCTTTATCGTTTGTGTCCGATTCAGAGTTAAAAGTATTAGATTCTTCATCTGAAATTCACCCAGATCTAGGTGAGCCAAAAGAAACTCTTGAGTTGAAATTGAGGGGTTTGTTTGGGATTCAGATCACAGGAGACAGATCTGCTCTCGAGAATCATCCCATTTCCCGCTTCAGCCTTCAAACCCACGTGCCTAACACGTGTCAAAATTCTTTTTTATTCTAATAGAACTTTTTAGTCAGGTTTTCACACGCACGCAGCACTAAAATTCAAAGAATGCCCTTTAACAAAATGTTATGCGAGAAGCATGTGCAGTTCCATTTTAACAGTCAACTAACGGAAAAGTGGAAATGCAAGTTATGGGACTTGAGGAAGACGATTTTGGTCTTTTGGGACCAAATAAATATAGCACCCCAAGTTGTGGGATTTTTTGAACAATTAAACGACTAAAAAATAATATTACTGAAAAAGGACACACCATAAAGTTGACTACCACAAGTCTCCTAAAGTAAAATCCAAATCAAGTTGAGAAACAATGAACATTGAGGCGGCACATTTTTTGAACAGATAAATCCTAAATCTATTGTCATTGAAATGGCCAGAGCTAAACTCCTATAAAGATATTCTTCAATTTAAAAATATGTTGAAGCACAATAATTATAGAGAAGAAAGCTGCTTTCATGGATAAGGAGAGTATCGCTATAATGGTGAGTACTAATTATCGTGAGATTATACTGATGATTTTCAATTGATGGGAGTTAATCATGAGTTGTAGTCTTGTAGAACGATTTTTTCCCCCTTGTCTTTGTATTTTCAATTGATTTGGAGTTCGTCATGAGTTGTAGAGTGAATTTTTTTCACATTATCTCTGTATTTTGTGATATATGTTATTTAATTATTATAGTTGCATAAGTGCTTTCTTAATTTTAGTCTTTTCCGTTCATACTCAGATATATAAATTTGAGGGAAAAAATGTCGTTCTTACCCAAAACTTTGCCCTCATCGTCAATCATACCCAATAGATTTTCGGTCAGTCAACTTTACCCTAATGTTTGAAATTTTCGCCAATTTTGTCCAATCGGCCTATTTTCCGTCCAAATTAACGGATCTCCGTTAGATTTTTAATAAAATAATAAATTTAAATACAAAAATACCCCAGTAGTTTGTAAAAATTTTAAAATAACCCCTAAATATATAAAAATAACAAAATAGTCCCTTTTCACTTTTTTATTTCATTTTCTCTATTTTGTTCCATTTCTCTCAACTAATTTTAATGACCATAAAAATATATTATATCAGTTTTAAAAAAAATATTTATTTATTTCTAAAATCTACTGTAAAAGTTAATCTTTGTATAGTTGTAACCCATGATTGTATTTCTATAAGCATGTTAATTTTTTTTAATAATATAGTTTTAGCAATAAAGATACTATTTTTTTATTATTTTGTTCTTCCTAACGTAAAGATTAAAAACATTTAAAAGAAAAAATATTCCACATAAAAATAAAATATTAGCTAAAATAAAAATTAATATATCAGTATAGTTTGGTGTATTACAATTTAACTAGAGAGACTACATGGCATAATATAATTTATAAAAAATATGTTTATACTTATCAATGTGAGGATTTAATATTTTGTAATAATTATTTGAGATGTTAATATATTTAACTAAGAGGAAGTCTTACTAGCTTATTCTATATGATTTTAGTTTAAAATAAATGAATGGAGGTAAAAATATGATAATAAAATATTGTGATAGAAAATAGGTTTTAGATTCAAGAAGGAAAACTTATGTATGGAGGATTTGTTTTAAGATTTTAATTATTTTATATTTTAGTTATTTTATTATGAATTATATTAATTCAAGTTATAGTCTCTTGAGTTAAATTGTAATACACTAAAATATCTTAATATTTTTTTTATTTGAGCTAATATTTTATTTTTATGTAGAATATTAGTTTCATTTAGATGTTTTTAATCTTTATGTTAGGAAGAATAAAATAAATCAGAAAAATAGTGTCTTTATTGCTAAAATTTATTATTAAAAAAATTAACATGCTTATAGCAATTCAATCATGGGTTACAACAATACAAAGATTAATTTTTACGGTAGAGTTTGAAAATAAATAAATATTTTTTAAAAAAAACTCATATAATATATTTTTATGGTCATTAAAAGTGGTTGAGAGAAATGGAACAAAATAGAGAAAATGAAATAAAAAAGTGAAAAGGGAC